CTTATCGTATTGAAGCTACGGACCAATTCAAATCTGCACAAGTATCGCCAAAAAGCTTTCTTTCCTCTTTTTATCGTGGCTTTCCATCTCGATTAGGACGCAGCGTCACGGTTTAGCCGCCAAAAGTCAGACTGACGACAAGCGTTCGGCTCCGTGGAACGCACGCGCGCGCATTCCGGTCTCACAGCTGTCACAGTCTCCGCGAATCTGTCAAGTCCGCTCCGCGTGCAGCAATGGTCGGCGCGCGTTCCGCCCGCCCGACGACGAGCAGTCACGTCGCACCATGCCGCGCCGTGCCGCAGGCCACCACGAGTACCTGAATCCCGGCGTGTTTATTCCGGCGCGTTTGACATGAGTCACGGCGTTATCCACGATGTCTGTCGCGCAGCAGCCGCCAGCAGCAACACGGGTGTGTCCGCTGAGTCGGTCGCGCTCCAGTACGGTGCGATCAAGTGTGCCAGTCGCCGCCTCGCCATAGGATAAGTGTGTCGGCGTTTTCATCCCGGCTGCCTGGCCACACGCGCGTACGCCGGTATGCACGGCCGACCAGCTGTCACGATGTCCACCACCGCCGCGGCGACGACGGCGACGGCGGCGGCGGCGGCGGCGGCGGCGGCGGCGGCGGCTGGCATCCCCTCGCAACAGAGGAACGTCGCCTGCAACGGCAAGGACGACGTGCCGGTGGTGACGCAGCCTACTACCAGGAGTGGGCTCAGAGTATACAAGATCGTGGTGCTGGGTGATGGCGGCGTTGGCAAATCGGGTATCTATCGTTTGATTGATTTATTAAAGTATTTGACATTTCATCTGATGTTTGAGAGAGTATACTCTACTGTCAATAACAATTACACGTTGCTTTTCAGCTGTCACTCTGCAATTTGTCAGTCACAGATTCCTGGACTATCATGATCCCACGATAGGTAAGTTATATGAAGAATGTTGAACTCTTAAATATCAATGAGTTTAGTAAAATATAAAGGAAATGTGAATATATAGAATCTGAGAGATTTGATTATACTAGACATATTGAAACATATTAATACAAAGAAAGTAATAGTTTCTCTTTTATTTATAGAGGATTCATATCAGACACAAGTGGTCATTGATGGTGAGGCAGCTCTCCTGGATATTTTGGACACTGCTGGACAGGTTTGAGATTCTTATATACATTTCACGATACATCGACGTATCATCAGATATTCTTCATTTGTTGCATATGATTGCAAATAACTTTGATTTTATGTATTATTGTATATAGGTAGAATTCACAGCAATGCGTGAGCAATATATGAGATGCGGCGAAGGCTTCATGATTTGTTATTCAGTAACAGATAGGCATAGCTTCCAAGAGACAATGGAGTACAGGAAATTGATATCACGCGTACGCGCCAACGAGAATATTCCTTTGGTGTTGGTCGGCAATAAGTTTGATCTACAACATCAACGAAAGGTACAGTCAGATGCTGTCAAATTGACTGTGACATATCAGAAATTGTGAATACATCGCGATACATAGTAATAATAATAAAATATTGATTTCTCGTAAGCATTGAACTCGCCATACTTGTTTCAGGTGACCACGGAGGAAGGCAAAGCATTGGCGGAGGAGCTCGGTTGTCCATTTTATGAGACATCCGCTGCTCTCAGACAATTCATAGACGATGCATTTTTCTCGTTGATCAGGCAGATCCGCGCTAAAGAGAGATCTCGTAATTCGCATCGCAAACGCAGCCGTTGGTGGCGAATTCGCTCGATATTCGCCTTTATCTTCCGGCGGAGAAGACATTCTTCCCATCGGTCTCCATAAAACTGGTTTTTGATAATAATCCATTATTAGGGAGATCCTCGATAGACGATAGCAATGACGAGAGTAATATCATAGTAGGCCACAACGAAGTAGACCTATAATTTTTTATAATTTACGCAGTATATAATTTCCCTTGTTTAGAGACTGACAGTTCATTAATATCTCACTGCCTTATCATTAACCCCAGTGCGTACTCTGTTGTCAAACAGGCTGGAATGTGTGTACACATTTTATATCCTCTTAGATTTGAGATCTCGGATTATTCATTCGTGATGCTCGATCAAAAAGAAATAGAGCATGTTACGTAATAGAGTCATACTTCCTGTAGAGGGTACGACATATATTTGCGACTTCCAGTTTTCTAGGATGACGATTTCTTCCGCGATATTAATTCATCTTAAGAGTCGGTAGGAGTGATCGGCTAACTTCGACTTGATCTAAAATGATTATCTAAAATGATTATCTATTCCTTATTTACAGTGCAAATATGTATCTGTACTCAATTATATTTTGTCTTATAGAAACGATGTTTCGTCATGAAACTTTGTTAAGATAATTTCTTTTACAATTACGAAGCTACCTACAGAGCCAATTTTGCAATTAGTTCTTAAATAATTAAAATAAAAATAATTTAAATATAACTATCTATTCCTTATTTACAGTGCAGATATATATTTGAGTACACCCATATATTATCTCGTAGAAGCAATATTCTGCCATGAGTCTTTTTCTATTTATTTTTTATTATTTTTTATTTTTTATAAAATTATGACTCTTGACAAAATCGCATTTTGCAATTTGACTCTTAAAAAAAATTTCCAATAGACGAAAATATTTGCATTTTATTGTGTCCTATAATGCAAATCTATTTACGCATAAGTGAATTATTTATTTTCACACATTTTTTTTACAAAAATGGTTCTGTAGCTTTCGTCAGGTAAATATTCTGATTATATAAATATCATAATTATATAGCTTTTCTTGAAACATTTTGGGTGAAAAGGAATTTATCTCCGATAGAAATCTCCATAGTCTCTCCTGCCGACTCTTAAAGACTGTTAGTGTTTGTTTAATATGGATTTTACAAACATCTGCGGCGATAAACGAAGATAAACGGAACCTAAGGCAACTAACTTCGGATAAGTAAATATTCACATCTCTAGTGAATCACTTTTCTAGTAGTTGTAGACGATATTTAAATTTTAATTTCTTATTAAATAGCATTATATATGCGACCAAAGAAAACTATATTAATGCAAAACAGGAAGTGATTCTGGTAAGCAGAGAAAAATAAGAATGCAAGATATTATATAAAAGTTTTGTGCTTTACAGCACAAATAGCTACTTTTAATTATCGATAAGAAAAGATGTATAAAAATCGAATTTTATTTATTTTAATTTAATTCCTGTAAATATATAGAAAATGCTGCTGCTATAAAACATAAATGAAAGCTATATAAAAGTTGCAATAAGTTTAGAATTGTTGTATATTTAGTATTGTTAATTGTCATTAACGTGAAATGCATAATTTCTAAAATATCTCGAAAAGACATTTCTCTATTAAAACATGTGTCTATTACAAACACACAAATAATTAAGCTGGCAATAAAAAAATATTTCATTATTTCTGTAAAGTACAGACATAACAGAAGAAAATATCATGTAGACTTTAAAATAATTAGAGTTTTTATGTGGTATAATGATCATACTCTAATACAAAGAATATTCAAGTTTAACTTTTAATAAATGTCCTAATTATATGCAGCTTATAAGTATATATATTATATTTCTATGATTTTTAAAAATTTAATCACAAATCATTCATTTTTAGTCATGAACTAACAAGATGAGATTAATTATGAAAAGAGAGTCACATTATATATATATATACACACATACAAAAATAAAAATCATTTAGATCCTCAGTAATTATCTAGTCGTTACTTAATTTTTGCTAGTCATTAGTCACATTTTGCATTTTGTTATAATACATTAACATATATTAGTTTAATCATGGTAATAAATGTTGATTACTTATATCACAAGTTTTAACATCATTTTTTAATAATCATTTTCTGTTATGCAATTCGTATTATTATACTATGAATAGAGATATGCGCACATGTATGTATTCTTATATAATATGTATTATTCAATGAGAAATATTAGATTGATATATTTATTTAATATTTGTTTATATGATTTAATGTTTTCTATGTTTGATAACAAATTATTTGTGGAATACAAAATATATATACATACATAATATATTATACATGTTATGTTATTATTGCGTACTAATAATTTATTTTATAGTAATAATGACGAATGTGACTGTTTATAGCAACAATTGCCAAATACAAGATATTGTTGGCAGCACAAATGATAATGTCTCTTCAATATATACAACTTATATAGAAGAGGCTGACCATATTGATACACACACATAACTGCATGTTTAGAAAAACTTACATGATGCAATATTGGTGCATAATAAGATATTCGCATCTTCATATCAGTAAAAATTATAATTATTGTCTAGAATTAAAAAAATGAAAAGTAGAAATAATTATTAAAGAAATAAAATCATTGTATCCACATAGAAAAGAAAAAATAAGAAAGAAGTATTGTTATATGTAAAAGATTTAGGTAATATCATCATTTTATATATTACTAAATTTATCAATTAGCTGTTAAATATATTAAATCTGAAACATAATGCGACAGAAATTATAGATCTCATACATGATAAGAGAATATTGTAAACATGATAGACAATGTAGTGACAAGCATGTAGAGTAATAATAATAATTTATAATTTACGAAGACAATATAATAATCAACGATCACTTTGATGTTATATTTTTATTTTATTTATATATGCAAATTTTTTAATATGTATAAACTATTAAAAAGGAATTATGCAGGCTAATACATGTAATCTTTTACTTAATAGATAGTACTCCATATTGTTTTACATAATGGCACAAATGAACATTTCATATAAAACGTAAGGATTTTACAATAAAATTACGAAATTTTATGTAAGCTGAGTATATTTTGGATATACACTCATACAAAACTAATATATTTCACATCATATAAAAGAATTTTACAATAAAAGGTATGTAATATGAAGAGATGAAACTTGAAATAATTAATCAATGTCATGCCTAAATAATTTTCATTATTAAAAATGTACTATAATTTTAAATCATCATCTTCAAAAGAAATTGCAATATTTTTTTAACCAAATATATTGTTTGTTGTCAATCTTATAACATTATATAATAAAACTTTGGCAACAAAGTCAGATAAAAATAATAATTAAAGGCTTTGCTCATCTTTATTTTTATGTAATACATTTATAATTTATCGCATAGCCTTATTTATTTTTTCTTTTAAGTAATATAAAACAATGTCTTATCAAAAAATTATTGCAAATGTCTTATATCTAAATATTGAGTATAATTTTGTTGATATTTATTTTCAGATCACAGTATAATTCGCTTAGATATTATATAAATATATAATTTTTCATATGGCCACAAATGTACAAAACCGACCAACTTATTTTGGCACATCCGTACATTATTTTGTAGTTTCATCTTCTAATACAAAAAAACCTATTTTAAAAAAGTATATATTTTAAGATAATAATGTGTAAAAAATATTTGTATCATGAGAATAATTAAGACTGTGTGTACGATATAATTAAATGAGTATAATATTTTACACAATGCATTATAGTTAAAAAATTCATTATATGATCCAAATCTTTTTGCTTGCATTTTGCAAGTCTGTATTATTTATTTCTAAGTTATAATGCGCGATACTATATAAATTTGTCTTCTGGTTTTTTTGTGGTATCCTGCACTTTATCTTCTGCCTCATAATTTTCTGGAAGTAGCATAGTCCCTTCTGTGTTTTGTGTGTCATCTCCATTGTTATCTACATAAATGATAAAAAATAGAAAAAAAAATTATTGCTAGTTTTATTCTCTATCTTCTTTCGCAAATGATTTAAAATTTAGTTTTTTATCAAACAAAATAATACACATATAATAAATAATAAAATAAAAACATGACCTAATTCAGATTAAAATAAAGAATAAACTGTGATGATAAAAATAAATAAAAAACATAGACATATCATTAATTTTCACAATTTACAATATTTTAGCGAAGTGATAATTAAACTTATGCAATAATAAATCGTTACGTTTAAAGTTTTAATTACCACGTGCACGATTTTCAGGATCTTCCAAGTCATTGGCAACTGAGGTATCCTGCTCTGAGGCATAGTTCGGTGTGTGATTGATTTTCGATTCCGTTTCAACTGAAAGTCACGTAAGCTAAATTACTATACTAAAGTAAAAAGTTCATATGTATTTCTGAAAAATTTTAATTATTATTTGTTACAGAATATACACATAATGATAACTTATTATATATATAATGAGCTATTATTAAATATGCGCATTAGTAACTAATTGTTAACGCAAATTCTGTCAGCACTCTTGTATATTCCATGTTAATACAAAAAAATGTTAGTTTTTTAATATTGTAATTTTGATAATAATAATAATAATTATTCGCAACCAATCCTTTGATCTAATCTAAAAGCAGGAATGTGAAAGTTCTTGCTGAAAATATTACATATGTAAAATGTTTTTTTCCTGAAACGTGTTTTATGTTTGATATTTTTATAAAGAATTAAAGTTATACAATTTATCACATTTTTTATTGTTTAACATATTTTTATAAATACAAATTAAAATCTGTAATTCATATTAAATGCTTTATATTATTTTATATTAATAAGATTTTTTATTATAAATACAGTATGTTATATATTGCAACAAGCTGTAAATAAATCGCAAACTCTACACAAATTTTATAATTACTTAATTGTAAGTTTTAAACAATTTTATTCTTATGTCATATTCATATATTAAAGTATTTACTTTTATATAATCTATTTACATATTCTAATTTTTATCTTTTTCTTTAAATTTAACTTAGAAAAAACAATGCATTTAATAACAATTGTAACAATTAAAAAAATACATCTCCTGTAGAAAAATAAATTATTATATGGCACCTATTAACTCAGAAATCATGCTTATGCCTGTGTGATTCAGTATAAACTATGTAAATATTTCATACTATTCTAATATATATAGAATTAGATTTTATAAAGTAAAGCATAAGAAAGTTAACTCTATTACATTTTTATCCCGTAAAGACACAATTCTATATTGAATCACTAAAACAGTCTTTTTGTCCGGTATGAAAACTTTAGTGTATACTAAGGAAATAATAATTCATATATCATTCGAATAAACCCGAAGGGCCGAGCGTGATCCACAGCTTAGTTAGAAGCGATATAATGGATTTGTCCTTAGTAAAGCTTTAGTCACACGTATATGAAAGTATGATTTATGTACAAATCTATTGCAAACTTTTAATTTCATGTCTGTGGCAGCATTCTCTCGCCCCGAGGACGGAGAAAGGTATCACTACCTTTCTTTGGCATAGTCACTGAGAAACGAGGAGTTTGGCGCACAGCACCAGGTGGATTTGTTGGTAGGATCGGAATTCCATGGAACTTCAAACCTCGCTGACCAGCTACGGATATTCTTACAGCAGACTTCGGTACCGGATGCAATTGTGACTTGTTAATGACCACTGTCGTTGCTAGATCAGCAAATCCCGACAATATTTTATAATGCTGAGTCAGTATAAAATGTGCAAAGGGGACGAGTTTGTAGTCGCATTAATTCTTGCGTGAGCAGCCCAATCGGAGTTAGAATTTAATGGGAATATTGAGATTCGAAAAAAAAAAATAAAGAAACAAACTTGGAACGTATTTTTTTCTCGCCGTTGAAGCAGGGTACAATTAGCAATCTAAGCAAATTCGTTCAGTTATATTAAGAATACATACGCAAATATTTCTTGTATTAAGTAAACTACTTAAAAAATTAATTTTGATCATTCAAACGTGGTTATTCATCATATTAGGAAAATTAAAACGAAATTTGGAGTATCAAACAAAATTCATGATAAAAATAATTATAACTTACGTGGCTCGAGATTTGGAGTTTCTTTCTTCTCAGATAGCGAGTTGCAACTAAGTTTAAGTTGATCTACTTCTCCTTTAATCTGCAAAAAAATCAAATTTTCTTACATTTTTTAAATTACATTTAATTTGATATAAGTATTATTAAATAAAACATTTTCATACTCTATCTATTTCCTCTTGTAGTTTTTTATTTTCATCCCTCTTTGCATCTAATTGAGTATTAATTGTATCCTTTTCTAATCTCAATGTTTCTAATGTTGCAGTTTTCGTGGCGTCCAATTTGTTTAATGAGTCTAGTTCACTTTTACACATAGTAACCGAGTCCTCGAGTTCTTCATTTTTCTTTTTAAGATCAATCTGCTGCTCCAAACGGACATGCAAGGAAGCCAACTCATCTTCTGTGTGTTTGAATCTTTGTTCCAAGTTACCACGCAACGTTACACACTGATCCCTTTCTTCAGCACTGAAAGAGAAATGTCTTACTTGAAGTTTTATATGTTATAGTAAGTAATCATTTAAAAAAAATAATGATATTATAAACATTATTCAAGTAAACCATAAACAACTATTTCACGAAAGAGATTTATATATACTTTATAAATTATATAACATTACGTAAAAGAAGTAAAAACTTGCAATGTTTCTGCAATAGTCTGACATCAATATTTCAAGCAGCTTAATTTATTATAAACATTTAAATGACATAATAACATAACTCTCTTTGATGACCACAATTTCATCATCATGTACACCAATGACTGTCAGTTATTTACCGCAGAGACAATGTATAACAAGATTAAAAATATGTAATAAAATCTTGCTGAGATTAAGACAGTCAAAGAGACTGTTTTACCTAATTTTGAGTTGCTCGTTCAGATCGTCGATCTGCCTAACGAGCTCCAGATTCTCGGAAGACAAGGTCCACCAGCTGCAGACGAGCATGAGGCATGCCAGTAGGAGTCCTCCGACCAGGAGGGGCGGACATCTGCCTCCGCCGACTCTCATACCGTCGATTCCCATCACTCTTGCTTTCGAAGTCGTATACGCCGGCTCTCGCTTCAACGGAACATATGCCACGCTATCGCCGATCTGCCTGTGCACATGCAAACAATCTACGTGTCACGCGCGTTCCCTGCGAGACGTGAACCGCGCGTAGCCCCACTCCGTGGAATTCGATTCTCGTTGGGCGTCGAAGAGGCGAATTCCACATCGACGATCGGCTGCGATTTACCTCTTTCAGGAACACCACACGATATCCATTTGATAACCGTGTGTTTTAGGCACTCTGCAACGGAGACGTGCTCTGATATACATTACCGGCGCCGGCAGTGATACGGCAGCTTGTTGTGAGCCTGTTCCTCTTTCCGAATTATACAGGGTGTCCCAAAAGTAACACCTTACAAATATTCGTTAAACGATTTACAAAGATTTGAAGATTCTCTTTCCCCACTTAATTAAATATCTGTCAAGATCCTGTCATTGTTTTTGGACTCTGGTATTGGCTACTTTTTTAAGATGAAATCTGAAATGTGTGTATGACTCTGTTTATAAATTAATTTATAAAAAATAGGATTTTGCTATTTTAAATCGACAAAACACCTTCACATTTTCTAGAGTTGAAAGTGAAAGATATAAAGACATTACGTGAGAGAAGTGTTTTCCTCATTACTCTTACAGTTTACTTCCCAGGTCTATCGTCTCTATCGGCAATTAAGTGACGAGACACGGCTTCTGAAATACTAGCTGTAATTTCCGATCTCCGCGCGATAACACCGGATGATCGATCGACGCCTCTCGCTATCTATTCAAGTCATCGTTATTTCCGTTTATCGGAAGTTGCGATACTCATGCCGCATACTTAATTTACGTAATCTTGACAGAAAAACAAGATTCGAAATCAATTTTCCTCCTTGCGCGTGGCTTCCTCGTTTGTCGACGGCCACGAACTATCGGTTTTATCTAAGGGCCTGCGCGCAATGAGGCAAATATTAGGAACAGAAATAAATATTAAATTTTGGAGATGAAAATTCGAAATAAAAATTAAATACAACGCGCAATGAATATAAATAAATATAAAATATAGTATCATATCTGAAAATTATTTGTATTTATTGTGCGTTACGTTTAATTTTTATTCTGCATTTTTTATTTCTAAAATTTAATATTTATTCTTATTCCTAATATTTTCTTCATTGCGCGCAGGGCCTAAGATAGAAAATTGTAGAAAATTTCGTCGGTAACCTTGGCGATAAGCGCACATGCGTATTTATGCGATTGACGAATGAAGAGGAAGCTTTCGAATGTTGTATTGCTAACTGTAAACTGTGTAATAATTTCGGACTCGCTTCTGCGCTAATTTTAATGCGCATGAAACTTCTCGAAGGTCATTCAAAAACCACGATACGACGCTTCATGATTCAGAGGCATTTCAGTAAACTGCAAATTCTATTGCGGGAAAGATCTTTTAGATTGGCATCAGCGTTTGCTGGCTATTTCTATTTCTTTAATTGACGATGGAGATTGTACGCTTCGTACGGATGATACGATCGATCCTTGGTGAAGATTTACCGTTTGGACGTTGAACAAATGACGATTATCCTTTCTGTGAATGCTGAATCATCACGCCGTATAAAATCCAGTGAATAGGAAAACAACCTTGTCACCTTTCCCTTTTTGTAACAAAACACAGGTGAATATCGACCTGTCAATTTGCAATTTAAATGATTGAGGCAGTTTTACTGAACTAGATCGTAGAATTAATTTCATGTAAGAGAAGAAAAAAAAGCTTCGATCAGCACGGTAAATCATCTTTCTGCTTTATATATATATTTTTCATAAGTAATAAAAGTCAATAAAAGTCAAAATCGTATTTTTTACATTATAATATCACGCGTTATAATATCACTGAAAAGTATTAATTAATCTTTTTACGTTCGTACCTAATGATACATTCTAATGTTAATACCTTTGAATTGCAGGGTATCACGCCGAGACAAGCCGGAATTTCAGATAGACGAACACAGGTGAACATCTACAAACAACAAGTGTAATACAAAAACATCGCGTTTATTCTGTCCCCTTTACTATATAATATAATATGTATTTACTTAACGCTGTTTCATCGAAGAGAATTAACTCATCGTCGATGAGCGAGCGAACAGAATCTATCGCGGTCTATCCCGAATGAAAGAATCGACGAACTCATGAGCCACCGGATTCACGGCACTTGATTCTTTCTAGTAATTAACAATAGAGTTCAATTGTGTATCGTGGATTGCGGTCCTGCCCGCGAACAGGATGAGACTGACGCGCGGCTCGCGGATTTGTTCGCTTATCATCTCGTCGAGCGTGATTGCAACCAGTAACACCGGTCTCTGATAAAGTACATTCTCGCTGCATTGCGAGCCCCGCAGCGATCGAAACCTGGCGTTCTGGCGTTCTTGATCCGTACAGCAGCAAACTCATTTGCTATTTATTTACACGGTAAATATTTTTTTCTTTCTCGTCATGTCTGATCGTCGGTTTTATCGACTTACTTTCTCGCGAAATCTTAGAAAAATGGAAATTCGAGTCGCCTTCATAAATTACTATCGGTCACCTAAATAGGCGAGAAGACTTACGTCATCTGCGGTCTGAACCGATTACTTATCGTTATGAATTTTTAATTACATTGTAGACTTGATTTATATCTTCTATGTAACATTTAGTTAGTATCGTTTATCGTACAAAATATCTTCGAATTAATTAAAACAGATATATCTGTGCTGTTATCGATTTTCGGACTTGTTTAATTTAACGTATTCATGTTTGATTTCGTCTTTGACTTTATTTCCGCTAATCTCTTACATATATCTTATATAATTTACATGATTGAATGGCAACTAATTGATTTATCCAGCTAACATAACTCAAGTCGTGATAGTTATTAAAAATTAATAAATATATGATGCAATTTATATTATCTATTCTTTTTTTTTCAAATGAAAAACTATCACCACTTATGAAACATCCGGTATTTTTATTTTATTCATAGCGATGCCACTTTTTTATCGATGCTTCGTGATGCGTTAGAGTTGTTTAGCCTATTTCGAAAATGAATAAACCGTACGTTCACAATTTCCTTTTATCGCCTTTTCATATTCTTTACAATATATACTCGAAGCTATATACTCGAAGAGAAATAAAATATATCGTAAATTTAATGGCTTTTCTTATATTTTCAGCGTCATTATGTGCCAAATGTCAGACGTCGGGATCGTTTGAGGATCACTTATCGCAACCTTATATTCGATATTTCTTATGTTCGATTATATCGATATTTCTGGGAAATATGAATAAATGAGCATATGAGTCGGTTGTCGGACACTGTCCTCATTAACTTGCGAAGAAAAGACCAACTTATTTGATCGGAATAATCGTTAAATAACTAACGATAAGTGGAGAGTCAAAACAGACTGATTTTATCTTAATTTCAAAAATATAGTTCATTACGGACGAATCTCTATTTGGTCTCTTTAATAAATTTTCCAGTGAACTGAAAGCAAACATATTTGCCATCGACAAATTCAATTAATTTCCTTTTTTTAATGATTTATTGTCAGTGATCGGTAGCACTCGTGCTACACACGCAATTATAAAAATTGCATTTACAGAATGTGTGCACATTACGATGTTGCGATTAAATTCATGGAATAAAAGCGAAGGTATTTCTTGTCTAGACTCTGCAGTTGGAAAATATTGCACTAATCAGTTCTAAAAATAATCTGCGAAGCCGTCGTGTTAGACAAACAGATATTTGCTGTCTCTTCCATAAATGCAAATGATTCATCAATGAAAAAGCAATTCGCTCTTAGGCTATAATCATAAGTCTTAATTTTTCTTCTGTCAATCGCAGACCCTATCTCAATAATATCATACGTTAATCATACGTAATGCAACATATATTTTCAGACGGTGTGAATAATTTTTTTACTCTCTCACATTAAGAAGATGATATAGAAAACGATGTAAAAAATATATATTAGATATAGAGATTTTTTATTTCGAGTTCTATCGAGTCTCTAATGTTATTATTTTGCATTTTTATCGTTATACAACGAAAAGATACAAAGGCAAGTATGCAACGGGTACTTTGTACAAATACAAATTTTTCAGTATACAATTAAACAATGTTATAATCAAAGACTTTTCTCTTACGCGTATATCGGGTCTGCGATTAGGCGCGCTAATTACAGCGACATCCGTGTATTATCTAACGCGATTCGAAGGATTTATTTACAGTGTGATTCAGTGTAAATCTATGGAAGATGCGTACGAGAGAAAGAAGGACGTCAACAATTACAATATCCGCTTATTTTCAATTCCCTATCAGTCTCACATATACGCATTCTTAATGAATTTTACATTTCCTCTCGCACGCATCGTTCCAATTTGCATAGTTCGTAGCTTATTACAAAACGATATAGTTATATACCCATCGTTACATATTGCGAAACTTTCGTCATGTGATGTTTCATTATAAATCGATTAGATACTCCGGAGTATAACTAATCTCGTCCGGCGACATGTGTGCGTCGAACTTTATTAAAAAATACAAATCCGTTTAGTATCATTGCGTAGATTTCATGCGGTGGAAACGTTCACCTAACACACATTAGTCACAAGACCAAATTATATCCGTTATCGTCATTTATTATATCATCATCGCAACCTATTATTATCCTATTATATGGCGCGTAAATCACTTTCTCTTGTCATAATCTCTTCGTCGGTGTTTTCCCATACTAATCATCTGCATCTTTAAATATATGATTAATGTCTAATATAGAAAAAGGATTTGTAGGAAAATGATGGTCCGAAGTTAGCACCGGATTTTCTGGTTTCTCGTACAGCGGATTAGTCGGATCAGATAGAGACTCTCGTTTTCAATTGCTACGCAAAAAAAATTAAATATAATAAATAAGTTGTGCATTTATTAATCAACACAAATTTTTCAGTAAAATATAATTTCCGGCAATTGAAAAAAAGATTTATCTCGATAACGAAAAAAATTATTTTTGCAAAAGTAATTTCTAAATTAATGAATAAAGAGTTTGATCTATTGCATTATAATCTTGGAAGTAGCACGATTTTTCATTATTAATACTGCTAGTAATGATTATTTTTCCATTTTTATTAACGTAACTGCTCGACTGTGATTGAGAATGAGACATGAATTAAATGAATATGTATGCTTTTGTTACTGCCAAATAAGACGCATTTCTTATTGAAAAGATAAATATTTCGCCAATAATTATAATTTTGTTTCGTGCTTCTTGTTATATTTCTTTTTGCTATATTCATATTTTCGCAAAATGTAGTATCGCGATAATATTCATTATGAGTAAAAAGAAATCAAAATGCAAGCTTGTGAAATCGGAAGTTCATAAACAAATACATTAAATATATAAAATAAGATGTTTTGGTAATTACTATAAGAAAAACAAATTTGTTTAATTTTAGAGAATATATATATATATATATATTTTTTTTTAAAGAACAGAGTATAATTATTCGAAATAAATATATTTATAAAGTATCGATAATTATAATTTTGTATAAAACATGTTGACAGAAATGAAGGTAAAGATTGCATATTGTATAAGAAATTTATCTATATTTATTTGCACGACATACTTCAGTGAAGAATATAAATGCAGTGATAGCAAGTGATTTACAAAGGAAAGAATACTGGTAAAATGTGTGGTAGTGACAATTCCAAGATATTTTTATACACAAACTTGTGTACATATAGATAAAATTAGTATCATCTCCCGTCAACAGAATATGCAAGGAAAATTAAATAGCTGATAATTTCGAATATTTAATACAGAAACTCTTGTTCTTTTTTTTCATCTTGGTTCTTCAGACATAGAGGATCAGTAAGAAGAATAAGATCAAAACAATGCATTTGAAAGTATATACCATTTAGTTATCCCATTTACATTATACATATCTTCATCTGTATTTTCAGGAAATGCTTCTAAAGATCTCAGATAAGAGAACCTATATAAAAAGATAAACAATTGTAATTGTGTATGTATACATTGAATGCCAAGTCCATCAGTATTTGAGTACTGTCTTGGTTGAAGATAATTTTTCTATATAACATACAAGTTTCCTAGTGAAGTAAACTTTGTAAACGCAAAACTTCAATGTAACAGATCGAGCGTTCGAGAACGCTGTGTTAGTAAATGTTTTATCTTGCTTAAGCTATAAATGGATAACAAAAAGCATATATATATATGAATAATCTAAAATAAAAGTATATGCTTAATTTATTGCAGCTTCAACATAGCCCCAAAGTCGGCCGAGAGAAGCGAGACTGCCGACAACTTCTACAATCACTTTCTCCGCGTTGTTCGAAAGCTTACCCAATATTTTGATTAAAATATATTATGCTCAAACAAAGTATAGGTAATTACATATCTCTTTCTAATGCGATGTTTTTCTCTTACCTTTCCTTCGCGCATTAATCTTCCAGTTACTTGCTATTTACTTGTCTTAGTGCTATAAAAGATTAGAATTTATGTTAAGGACATACAGCCTATCATTATTCAGATATATCAGTATTCAAACAATTGTTTCGTTGCTGTCTAAAAATATCCTTAACTTTTCATGGAGTTTTCTTTTATCCACTAAAATATCAATATCCTAAAGCCCGATTCTTAGAGATATTTATTAATTACATAATATTGTAATTCATTTAATATATATTTTATACAAAATATCTCTGCATCGTTGCAATCGTTTGACAAAAGCATACAAGTAACTTAATATTACATATGTTTAATAAGTAATTTTACATTACGGGTTGCTTTCTCGTACCGATAACATATTCCCGTCGCATTTGGCAGTAACAAAAGTGTCGGAATAACGTGTAGCACCGATTGTCACTAGATCGATGACACAGTAAGCTTCCCTTATCTGCGTAAAACTAAAACAAACGAGCAGATTGAAATAGGAGACTAACCAAGGTTAGACAATGCATATATCTCCCAATTATTCTATCTTATCAAAAAGTATTTATTTTACTTCAGAATATGATTAACATATTTTTCTTAGTGCAAGAATTTTATGTACACTAAATAACCTACATTTCAAAAGCGAACTTTTTTTGCATTTGTTGTATGCAAAAAGAATTGCTGATATTCAATTGTCAATGATAAATATATTATAAAGAATTTTAGTTGTTTAAAAATAGATCTTTGTCGAATATGTATATATATATATATATATATATTATATATGTTTAAACAAATATGTAAAATATCGAATGAGTCCTGCCTGGTTATTTATTCCCATGAATCTCATACATTAAATTCAATTGCCAGATAACGAGAAACTCATACAAGCGCGAACTGTGCCAACTGTGACGTGATGCGAGTGTGAGCGTTTAGATGCGAATGTCGTACCGTCCGTTAGAAAACGTTATAAACATGGAAAAACTTACTTAACTTCAAAAAAATAACATGTCGCCATTTATTAACGGTACTTATATCTTTACAAAGAAGATTCTCGCGCACTCTTACAAAAAAATAGAAGGATGATAGCGAGTAAGAAACGCGGTACAGAAAAAACGTTGACGTTCATACTGAGCACTGAAAATACTTTTCTATTCCAATCTTTACACATAGATTGATATTACGAATACCTCTTTTTTTCTTTCTCTTCTTCTTTCTTCTTCACGTTCGTATCTTTCGTTTACTTGTATATCACGTCGTTTACTCGATAACACATTGATTTCATTATCGTTGTTAGGCATATGGAAATTAAATAATGAGTAGCGTTGCTTGTGGGAGTTTCGGCTGTACGAGGCCAGGGAGAAAACAGGCTCACGAAAAATTATCACTGGCTGGTTCCATTTTCATTTTCTTTTGTGGAGAAGTCACTTGCGAGCGTAAATCTGCGCTGGCAGGTCTCTTCGCTTGCGGATTACTCTTCACGGCGGTGGTTGGATCTGCTAATAATAAAGTGTTTGTTCAAGTGTATCCCTTTAAAAAGAAAAAAAATTTATTCGAATGAAACAAATTGCGCGACTAACCTTGCAACCACCTGACTTGAGTGGCTGGTCCATATCCTTTGTCGTTTCGTGCGGCTATTCTAAAGATTATGGCCGGTTTTGTAGTCGTATCCACGTGAGCGGCATTAAGGGCACTATTGTTCACCGAACAAGAATTACTCGAACCGCAATAAACTCTAATAAAAGCTAACTGATTTGGATTCGACACAACTGTTTTTGGTTCTCCGTCATTGTTCAACGCGGTACTTCGCACTGCTAAGTAGACGGAATATTCGAGGATAGGGCCGACGTTGCTAGGCGGCGGTTCCCAAGAGATTTGTGCGCCGTCCACGGATTTCGATATCTTTATAGCGCTCGGTGCACCCGGAAATCCCGGAAGACACGTCTTGAATGCCGCTACCTGTAACGAATGCATGATTAAATTCGAATTATTTTTATTTATTATTTTATTATTTATTATATTATTTTTTTCATCTGTCGAAAAAACATTTTCCTATTAAATAATGTTGCAAAATATGAAATGTGAGTGTGAATTTTGTTACCTCACTCCAGGCACTTCGTCCACAACTATTCACAGCGGCGACTCTAAACTTGTAGGCAGTTCCGGGTTCTAATGCTATTTTAGCTCTTCCTTTAAAAACATCCATCGTCAAAGATTGCGTTATATCTAACGGTTCATCACCAGGAAGATAATAATGTTGAACTGTAAAACTAGTTCCTTTTATCACACCTACATCATACCACTCTGCCTCTTTCTTCTCTTCCTCGCTCTGCAAAAATATCAGTTAAAACAATATTTGTATTACATTTGAAATAATAAACAAAAAATTAACAAAACATACCTGCTCATTTTTAACTTTTACCGCTGGTTCTGCTGATCCTAAAGCAGCAGTAGCCAATGTTGTCAAAGCTGTCGAATCATCTCCAGTTTCTGATCTAGCGTCATTGATCTTTTCCTGTTTCTGATTTTCTCTCTTTGAAGCAGAAAGTTCATCTTTCATCTCTATTTTCGTGGAACTATGTACTTTTTCCATTTCCTTTTCAAGAGATGCAGCGACACCGTTAACAGACGATAAAGGTATATCGGTTAATTTGTTTTCTTTCGTCATAGATTCGTCATTTGGTTCCAGTTTCATTTGAATGTTTGGTGTAACAACGGGAGTCATTACATTATCTGTTGAAGTCGTACTATTATCAGTAATCATTGGTTCGTCCACATCATCCGATTTCATAAGAGAACTTTCGGTGGGAAGATCAGCTTCCGAATTTGCGATTTCATCTTTTATTTTGTCATCTTTCTGAATATCGCTTTGAGGATGCAACGCGTCCGTATCTTCGATAGGTACATTTTCAAATTCTGGTGGTTCATTTTCAGAAAGCTTCTTTTTTTATATTTTTCACTTGATTGTTTTCATCTTGCTTGATAATTGCATCGATTTCCATTGCTGGGTTTGTATCGTTCACTAGAGATGTCTGTTCGGATGAAGACTCCGTGAGTGATTGTACTAAAGGCAACTCAGATTTTGTTACTTTAACTTCATCAACTATTGGTTTAGAATCATTGATCTCCTTCTCGTTCGACAATTCTACATCATTGGTATCAGTTTGTAATGGTGCATCATGATTGGGGGGATTATCAACAGCATCTTCAATTTTGAGAATTTGATTGATAGAAGTGGTAGTCGATTCAGAAGGATCTGTGGTCGCTGCTGTTGTTGCTGCTTCTTCTTCTTCTTCTTTATTTGCAGCAACATCCTCTTTTATAGTTGATTCTTCTGTTTGAACATTTTCTGTCACATTTTGTTCTGTTACTGCTGTCGACTCGTCGACGCCGGCTGACTCAGGCGCATTTTCCGATGCAGGCTCCTCATCAACATCCATTTTTTCTTCATCCTCCAATAAGAGGTCATCTATTGGTCCATCTACTTGTGGAAGTATAAAAGTGGTTCCGTCACCATCAACTTGCATTGATTCGTCCGCACCCATTTGAGAAACTAGAGCAGCTGCCGTAGTCGCTTCATTGCCGTTACAACTATCCTCTATTTTATCGTCGCTCGTAGCACCATCATCCGCTACCATGAATGATAAGTTACCAGATGGTTCCTGAACTGGATCTATCAGACCTGCTTCTGCTGCTAATGCGGCTAACGCTGCATCAGTAGTAGCCGGGCCGTCAGACGTAGATGCTAAAATATTATTTTACCATATATTTTAAAGGTACAACATTACAAAAGATAAGTATTTTATATTGGAATTTAACTCCACCTAAGGAAGCTGAAGGTTGTTTCTGTGGAGAAACAAAAAGCATTTTACTGGTATCTATCGAATCTGATGTGCTCGAAGTAGTTACTATGGAACTGCTACTTGTCGGCAAAAGCGTCACTGTCTTCGCACTTATACCCGCAGGCATTTGCAGAGTCACTGGCTTGCCAGACACTGTTACGGCTTCCTACAATTTGTTAAATAAATATTAATGTTTATAAGAAATTTTTATAGTAAATAGTATATTAATAATTTAATTACACACATATCTTGTAATCATATAATTAAAAATAATATATATATATATATATATATATATATAATCATATACTTACAGGTGTTTTTGTATCTGCGGCACAACAAGTTGATTCTTACTGGGATTGAAGATAGTTTGCGCACCGCTCTTAGCAATAGTCACAGTCTTTGCTACGCCGCCTTGTCCTGGAACTGTGATGGTTAAAGGTTTGCCAGCAGTTCCTCCTCCCATTGCACCAGAAGAAACAACAATCATTTTGACACCCTGCTGATTCGTAACATGATTTGTAGCTGACAAGGGCAAAACGTTTACAGGAGTAGCTACGGATGTAGCTCCTTGTCCTGCACCAGCTTGTGATGTTGTCACAGCTTGTACAGCTCTTAAACCAGAACCTGAAGTGACAACGATAAACTGATTGGTTCGTCCAACTAATCCACTGTTTCCTGTTGGTTTGGTAATCATTATAGTTTGTTTGCCCGTTATGTTCTGTCCCTTACTCATCGCTACAATGTTGGACGTCTTCATAGTCGTGAGGATCTTCGATCCAGTCACCGTATTGGGATTTACCAATCGTAGTATTGTCGGTCCCTGATTTAGAGGTTTTGCGCCAGTTGCCTGAACAGTTTTGCCAGGGATAAGGCTTACTTTAGGTACTGTAGCCACCATGCCTTGTCCGGTTTTCAGGAGATGTACGATTTGTGGCTGACCAGATATATTTTGGCCAGGTTTTTGCAGTATGATCTGCTTGCTCTGTTGCGGCGAGGTAGTACGTAGTACTGTGGCTCCGGGTGCGGCAAAGCGTATCTGCTGACCTGGCTGAACGTTTTTCATCCTGATAGTGTTGGCTGTAGTTGCAGTCGCAACCGCGGCTTGTGGCACAATCGGAACATTGTTCATAGTAATCTTTGGGGTGGCTGCCGCTGCTGCAGCCAGAGCGGCGATTCCAGACATAGCAGCAGGTGTTTGACCAGCCGCAGTTGTCACAGTCGCAGTTGTTTGCTGTTGCTCAGTGGTGGCCACTGCTACTGCTGCCGTTGCCACTGCCGCCGTGGAGGTGACCAGAGGAGATCGGATACGTATAACGTTGCCAGTTGCGACTCTCGGAGTCATAGGACTTGCTGGTTTTTGTACAGCTTGTACTGGTTTCTGTACGGGACTCGCACTTTGAACTCGTAATGGATTTGTCACTGCTGTTGCCACTGCTGTTGCTACGGATGTTCTGGCAGCAGCGGCAACAGGTGGTGCAGTCGAAGGAAGAGCAGCAACAGTGGTGACAGGCGGAGATGTTACGGGTATGGTCGCGGGAGTAGCCGCCATCGCTGGGGTTGTCACCGCCACAGGAGTGCTGACGATAGGCGCAGTCGGTGTCGGTGTGCTCACCGATGGGAAGGTACCAGTTGCTGCTACCGGTGGCATATCATATTTTTGTATTTGAAGAATATAATATTGCGCGGACGGGCTTGCTGTCCAGCTGACTTCCAACGTTTGCGTGGAAGCCCTAACTAACTGAACTCTGGAAGGTGCCGCCGGTTTACTGACCTCAAGATACCATAAATCTTTGCAACAAACCTAAAGATAGAGAAAGGATGTCAATACAGTGATATTTCATCGAATCGAAAATTGTATTATTATAATTGGTTATAATTCTAACTTGATTATTCCAAGCTTTACGATAGCCATCTCTACCGGACCATACATAAAGCCTACTGTGTACGCCAACCGCGCAATGACCAGCACGAGCACGAGGAACATTCTCTTCTAAGGAATCGACAGTCAATTGCTCCCAAGTGAGAGTTTCTAAAACAATTTTTTATTTAAATAATATATAATCTTTCTTGAAAAATAATTCATTTGGATTTAACAAATTGATTATTAAAATTATATTATTATGATCATATATCCATATTAAAATAGTTTTACTTATCAATCATTTAACAATTTTAAACTCAAATATTTTTCATGCATTAAAAATTGTCTATCATTTAATTATATTAATTAGATTTAATATTTGTCGCAAACAAATTATTGTACATTTAATAAAATCTTATATTATTTAAATAATTTCAGAAGTATAAAAATTATTTAGATCAACATATTATTAACATAAAGAAAAAAATCATGAAATATAACTTACCCAAGTTCAAGCATGCTAGCGTACTTGTACACTTCCATTCTTTTTCGTGTGTCGCGACTTTAACATCATCAACGACCAATGGCACCCATCCACCAAATACATACATTCGATGACCAATTAAAGTGGCAGTATGAAGCGATCGTGGTAGAGGAGTAGGTCCATGAACCACTGGCTTATTCCAAGTCATTGAATCAACATCAAGAAACCATAAATCACCTAGACGACAGCCGCTCATGCCACCATAAATCACCAAGCAGGACTTGCCTGTGGTACGATCAGTATATGCCACTCCAGTATGGGATTCTCTAGGAGGTGGCGCATGTCCGTGTGTTTGTGGTACATCCCAGGCTGTTTGACCATTAGGGAGGAGCTCAAGTGTATACAGATCATTCAGATATCTCGGTATATTATTTTTTGGATCATCACTATCATTCGCCAGACCTCCAAAAAGGAAGACCCTGTTACCAATGAGGGTAAAACTATGTCCCAATCGTGGGCATGGTGGTGGCTCATGTTTAGGCGGCTTTGGTTTCAAGCGCTTCCATTCCCATCGACTCGCTTGCAATTCATACAGTTCATTAGAATATTTGCCATATTCTACCATTCCACCAAAGACCAAAATACGAGTGCCATCGACAACAAATCCATATGCTGCACAACCTGGCGGAATATCTCCCTTCGTAGATGGTACGAACCATTGATTTGTTGCTGTAAAAATATACTAATATTAATAAACATAAAAATAAATTTTTGAAACAATTTTAATTAAAAAAAATTTTAATTTTAATATTTTAAATCAAATCAAACTATATGCATATTAATTTTTAATACTTTTAATTTTAAATACCGTAAGATTTGTTCTTTCCAATTGCGCTAATTGAACAGCTTTTCTCGTTTTCTTTCCAAAACTTAAAATATAAGTTTTACATATTTCTTTATTTTTAAATGTAAAAAGTGTAACGTAAGTTACGAAGAACATCTAAAAAGGTCTAATGTTTTTAATACTTTGTGTTGAAAAGCGGAAAAGGTATTTCTTCACGACGGAGGAAAAATAAGGAAAAGTACATATAGTGTAGCTTTGAGGAACAGACAATATGCATTCTGGCTGTTACCATGGCGAGCTCGTGAGCGAGAACAAACATTTCGAAATCAAACTTGAAAGCGCGCAGAGTAACGCGCAGGCGTACAGCATTCGGGCAATATAGCGCGAGAGAGAAGGAACAAATGCATGGAACGCGTTGAACAGCGGGCGACGGAAGGAGGGCAGAGAGAAGGACCGAGAACGCGAAAGGAAAAAGAAGAAAAGAAAGGCGGAGAAGCGCGAACGACGGGAATGACGGGAAACGCAGCGCGTTGCATCGCTACAATGGCAAGAGGGAGGGGGAAGGACGATGGTGAAGAAGGGCGAGGGACGGGGACGTTGGAGACAGCAATGGCCGCTCCCGCGCGTATAAACATATAGAATGACAGACCATGACTATTTTGCGGATTCGTCGAGGTCTAACGCTCGTTCCACGAACGCGAGAATGCTCGCTTGACTCGGCTTGACGGCGAACGCCGGATTTGATCGTCCACCGTGTCGTTCGGAACGTGGAATCGAGGCGTTCGACCGCGGATCCGGCCGGTCACCGTCTTGTCAACGTATGCCGCCATATTGGTTCGCGGGAATTGCAAGATACGGCGCGGTGCGGCGCAACGAAAGGGACGCACGGCGGCGTAAGCATGAGTACACTTGGCGTATATTTTCCTTACCTGTGTTGTATACATGCAACTCGTCGACGATGCCCTCGTTCCCACCGCCGAAAACGACCATGAGATCCTTAATAGCGACCGCTCGGTGGCCATGCCTGGGTCGCGGCTGGGGCCCGGTCGGATTTGCGATCCGCTTCCACTTTAGCATGGGTGCCGCCATGATGACCGTCGATCACATCATTTTTTCATACCGCGCGATCGTACAACACCACCAGCACCACCACCGTCGCTTTCGTTGTCGTTGATGTTTATATCGCCGCTATCGCTAACGGTTTTTAGAACGCGACGCTCGGCGGACCTATAGATGGGCGTCTCTTTTTATCACAGAAATTACGGTCCGTGTTCGTCCGTTCCGACAGCCGTTGCCGATGGGAATCGACAAGCGACGTAAATACACAAAAGTCCACTCGCACTGACGTAAAATCTGCTCTCTCGGCTCACTCTTGGATGGCGTGCCGCTCTCCGTAGCGACTCGATTCTAACCTCTTTGGAAGCGCCGTGAAACGGCGCGAGCTCCTCCCGCGCGTACTCGGATTTATACTCGTACCGTGTCGCGACGTCTCTACATCCGGCGATCGGCAACGACGAGGCCGTTCTCGGTCACTCGTTCACGCGCGCGCGCGTCTTCCGCACTTCCGATTTGTAACAAAAACTGCGGCTCAGGAACGAACTTCGGGAGAAGGGCCACCGCGACTCGCCGTTTGCGAGAACGATGTGTCCTAGCGGCGCGCAACACGTACACACGTACGGCGAGGCGACGCGCACCGTGTGTGTGCCTGTGCGCGCGGACGCGTGTACATCCGTATTTACGTGTGCGCGGTGTTTACGGCCGCCGATAGTGCGAAATGCTAGAGCGGCGACTCAGCGACGCGCCGCAATCCGGGCGGATACGCGGTCGCCGTCGTCGCGACGCAACCCGCTCATAATCACAATCGAGCTCGCGGATTCGAGAATTTTCGAGATTAATCGGCGGCGCCGTCGACGGCCGAAGGCGCCTCGTGCCTGAATGCGCACGCGCGTCTCTCTCGGTCCCTCTCGGCCGTCTCGTTACCCGCCGTAGCCGTTGTTGCCGTACCCTCTCGCGGTGAAACCTGCGTCAAAACGAACGAAAAACGGCGCGGCAAGATATCACTGCGGCACGATCGAGCAGCGACGGCCGAAACGATGCGTACCCACGATCCGATGCTCCTGACGATCGAAACACAACGATCAGCTACCGGCAGCGAACGATTCCGTAGTACTTATCGGGGAAACGGCCGAAATAGTCGGTAGTTTGATGGCGCGCACCAGTGGCCTTCGCGAACCTCATCCACCATTGCCCATAACGCGTCTGTAACGGGTGGTAACAAGCGCGTTGCCAACTGACGTCTTTCTGCAGGGAAAAGCAACGCTCGAACGACCAATCGACTCGATTTTCGAATCTTTCTTTTTGGAAAGATCGATTTTCTTCCGGACTTTCTTTCGATTAATCCAAACAAGATAGAAAGTCACTATTGATTTGTCACTAATGTAAAATAGAGGAATCGACCAATCACATGTCTAGAAATTATATGCGAATTGTAACGAAATAAATTGTCCAAAAAATTATCCCTGCTGTTTATCTTATCCGAAAGATGATAAACAATGAAAATGTGTCTTGTTTTGCTTTTTTCTTATAATTTTTATAAATGATATTAGAGATAGATGATGAGTAAGGAAGCATCAAGGTAATTAAATAGAATAATTATGCTTAAAAATATTAATTATACATATTTGACATAAATAGGATACATTGCTAAATTTTGAATTTTGCATATATATATATAGATCAAGGAAATTATCATTACATGATAGAAATCGATAAGATTTTATTTGTAAACATTGTACTTTTTATATAAATACCGTCTCTATTTTCTTATAAATCATCTCAATTCGAGATTCACCATTTCTGACACGCATGTTAAATTTTATATTTATTTTTAATATGTAAAAAACAAAATTTTAGATTAATACTGTTGTAAATTAAAATGGAAATGATAGAAATGCACAAAAAATTGTCACATTCAAGAGAATAATATTCGTTTAAAATATGTTCAGAATCCACACATTTCAGGCTATCCTGTAGAGTGATAAAATATAACTACTTTTGTTAAAGCTAGAAATATTTTTTGCTTCTCTTTAATTCAAAATTATTTTAATTATTAAAGTTATATATTTTATCTTAAAATTATATTGCGCTTAAAATGAATATCCTTTCAATTCTTCCTAGAGATTGAAAATTTTAAAAATCGAACAATATAAATAAAATATTAATGTTCTTTGCCTATCAAAGCAACTTCACATATTTTGCAAACTGTATCCTTAAATTGTAGATTATAACTAGCACCACATAAGGGACACTTCACTTCCGGTTTTCCTTTGTAAATAGGTGTGAACGTGTTGGCACATAATGAGAATGGATTGTGCTCATCATACATTAATTTATGCTCGTCAACAGGATTCTTGTCACAGGACTGAAAAAGAATAAATCATATATTTTTCATTTATAGGCATTAATTTAAATATTAATTTATGAGAAAAATGAAAATACCTGTAATAGAACCCGAATTTTTTGTGCAAGTTCAGGATTTGGTCCGAGTTCCAGTAATCTTCTCGCGAATGATGCGGCAGTTTTATAATTCTTTAATTTGTAGAACAAATTAACAGCTACTTGAAGAGTTAGAATCTGATGTACAGGTTGCAAATTACAATGCGTAAAATATGCTGCCATTTCGCAAATTCTCTTTTGCTCTGCTAATGTAGCTCTCGGTAAACTTTTACGTTCAGTTTCCATCTTCAAACCCAAAATATATTCGCGACAAATTTGAATCAGTTGTTGAGCTTCCGCAATGTCTTGCTTAGTATCGACAACAAGTAATGGCACACTTAGCAAGATATTTTGTAATTTTTCTATCGCTTTGGCAAACTTGCCATTGGTTGTTAACTGATAGCACACTTGAAGACGCTGGACTAATTCGGAGAGGTGCAATCCCACGGCAGGTAATCCGGTCTTCGATGTTGTATCCTTCCAATTAGTATCCTTCCAGTTTCTTTGAGGATATCCATATAACGATGGTATATTAGGTAGGCATGTGTAGGATGTTCTGGAACGTGCGTACGTATTTAAAAACAAGGATTGATAAGGCCCAAATTCTACCACTCCGAGCTGATTATGCAATAATCTGAAAGCAGATTCGAAAGATCCGGCCAGTATATGATCGACTACTAATTTAGAATTGTTAACCCAATGCTGTGGTGGCGAAACTCCTTTAGTAGGTAGACATTCATAGTTATTGCCTTCGTCGGAAACTGCAGCAGCTTCAAGTTCCGGAGGAAGTTCAACGTCCTCGACATCCCAACCAGGATTCTCTTCACCTTCGGGTACGATTTCTGCGTCCACGCCTTCTTCGTCATCTATACCGAGTTCTTCGTCGTTGCCCCATCCTTCAGGTGTTGCTTCACCGTCGTCTTCCAGAGCAAGAGCAGCGGCCACTTGAGTTCTGCTACGAGACATCGCGCCTTCGAAGAAGCCTTTAGAAACGGTCAGCAGTGGCCAATTGTTCTCAGCTTGCTGAATAGGTACGGGTGGACAGAGATATGTGGCACCTTTTTCCAGCGCAGAAAGTTCCTCGCTCATCGATTCATACTCACGGTCGTCATCTTCATTTGAAATTCCATGGATTTTCTCGGTAACGTACGCCAATGATGCTTGTCCGGAGTTCTATAAAGAAAAATTTAATTTTTATGTAATAATAATAATTTAGGAATGAAGGCTTTTATTTATTCTCAATATATATAAAATTATTTATTAACAGAGATAATGTACCCGCAAAATCTTAGCCCGTTCGTAAATGTCTCCAAGCAGCAAGCTTCCTTGATATTGTCCAGATACATCCTTTCGAATTTCCGCGATTTTTATCATTTTACGTAGCTTCTCCAAGTTGCCAGTTATCAAATAGAGGAAAGCCAGCTTCTCAAAGTTTTTTGTTCTTTGATAACACATTTCCACGACTTGATGATTACCTTGCAGCAAAGCAGTTTGCGCTAAACTCTCCCAACATGATTTCTGATCGAGCGATCTTGCCGCTTCTAATGCAACTTCGATATTACCACATTCAAGCGCAAGACCAAATCTGGTTTTTTCATCTTTTACAAAGTGAAGTGCTACTTCCGGATATCCCTTCTGTTGCAAGTACGCTATAATTGATTGCCCAACAAGATTCGCTGTGCGAACCATGTGTAAAACTTCCTCGTATTTCCTGTTAATCAATGCCAGCTTGAATTTGTATTCTGTCGGATCTATACGAAGGATCCGTGGTCTGCATTCTCGATCTAAGCAATAAACTTGATTGCCCTTTACTCTTGTAACATATATCGGTAAATCTAGTGTACGGATGATACCATGATCACCATTGCTGATTGCATATTTAATGTGATTACTGGTTGTATAAATAAATACACCGGAATCATCCCAAGCACCAGATTTCACTCTGGTATTTTCATGCACGCAACAAAGAGATTCTAATCGACGATTGCAAATATTGACAGTATGTTTAGCCAGAAGAGCAACATGAGACATATCGCTGGACCACACAACATATCTACATTTTGTAATTTTTACTTCTGCTAAAGTTCTCTTTTGTTGTACATCAAACAGCGTTACTTGTTCTGGATCGCGCAAAAGTAACATGCCGGTACCGGCATAAAATATCTCGTCACAATTTGGGATTTGCACTTTTTTCGTGACTTCGTTCTTTAAATTTTTAATGACTAACTGAAAAAGAAAATATTCATTATTAAATTGTGTGCAAATTATAAAAATATAATAAAAATATGTCAAGTATCAGAAATTTTAACCTAATTTAAACTAGTTTAAGTAAATGAATTAATAAATTCTAAACATTCTGAAGTTTATGTAATTATTGTATAAAATATGTTAATTTACCGAATATGATCTATCCAATACAGCAAACCGGTTCCTGGCAACCCAAATAGCGGTAACGCCAGATGCCCGTTTTGTATCAGCATCCGTGCTCGAATCTCCCTCGCGCGGTATCATGTACAAATCATAAGTACTATTCTCGATATTCGAAGGTGGTCTTGTGCATATTAAAACGCTATTTTCCGCCTGATTATATGACATGCTATATGGCGGTGTTTTTCCTCCGCCGCGTATTTGCATCACTGATGTATCTTTTGACGTGGTAAAGTCCAGTTTACGAAGGAAACGGTCCTTCACATAGTACAGGAGATTTCCATAAACTGCATACGCGGGACGTTCTCTCTCGAGTTTAAAAATAATCATTCCAGAATCGTGACCAGCCGCAAAAAGATTTAATGTCGGATGCGCGGCGAGAACCCAAAATCTTTCGTGTTCCCTTCTGAATGTGTGCAAGCATGTGCGTTTTGTCATGTCCCAGACTCTGATACTTTTGTCTTCCGAATTGGAGAGAATAAGATCTTGTCTAGGATGAAACAGTACGCAGGACACATTGTTGTAATGACCGCGACATGTGTCTACTTCCCAAGCCTTGGCATCATTCATCCGCCACATTTTAATTTGTCGATCATCGGCTCCGGAGACAATGAGAGGTAACGTTCCGTGAAAGCATGCCCAGTTTACGCCTCTGTCATGACCTTCAAGAACATATTTCACTACTGCATCAGCCTGACCGAATAAATCGGTCGCTCCCGGATTTTTCAAATGATCCTCGAGACCTCCCGGACCTGGCGCCACATTTTTCTTGCGCAATCCTGCAATTGCATTCGCCAAGTTATTAAATAACCATCCATCTGTCAATAACTACACAGTTTTTCCCTTGGATTTTTATATATAAAAGAAAAATATAAATTACATTTAAATTTTCTAATAATTTTTTTATGAAATATAAAGCTTGAAAATTTTAAATATTCATTTTCTGATAAGATTTGTAATTTTCAGTATCAATATGGAAGAAATAATTTCTACACCAACCCGAAATATCCCAAACGCGGACCGTTTGATCAAGCGAAGCTGACACGATGATATCCTCTGTAGGATGAAATTGTGCACACATTACATAATGATTGTGGCCAGTCATTACACAAATGCAAGTGCGGCTTTGCCAGTTCCAGATTCGGATAGTCTGATCGTCTGAAGCACTAAGGATCCAAGGATACTCTTGATGGAACATAGTAGTCCTGATATAATCTAAGTGCCCCAGTAACGTAAAGATACATCTTCGTTGTTTGTAATTCCAAATTTTGATCTTATAATCGTCGCCGCCCGAAACAAATAATGGCTGCTGATTGTGGAAACATATGCCTCGAACAGGTCCATCGTGTTCGTCAAATTTGTCGAGCAAGGTACACATACGGTAATCCCATAATTGAATAACGCCATTATGTAAACTGTAATTTATTTATAAATGCAAAAGATTTATATATAATGTTATTTTCAATGATTCAATTTTTAACATTTATACACAAAGAAAACGATAGATATTTTCTAAAAACTAAGTATGAGAAATAAATGGAAAGATTTTTTAAACACATTTATTATATTTTTTTTTCTTTAATTTTCGTAATGTAAATTTTAATATAATCGATATAATTCTTATTTCTTTAGTATTATAATTCCTATAATTTTATATATATATATATATATGCAAATGCATTTTATTCTACAAATGTATGGTACAAATTATGGAATTGGTTCATACGTTTATTATTTTTTCAATTGCTATGAACCATACGAGGATCTTTATGCTCTAAATTGCGAAAATCGATGGTTTGCATGATTTTTTTTCGTCGGGGCGTACTATTACGAAATAAAGTGTAAATATAAAGGTCATTCGGAAACTGGATTTCGGGCCTACGCCTCTATATAGGGTGTCTCAATAATATAACGAAAACAATACGCATAAAAAATGAAGATTATTACGTTTTTAGAGATTAATGCAAATTTCATTATTTTTAAATAGATTTAAAGATGTTTCCTAATTATCAATTATAGAGTTAATAATTATAATTGATAAAATTTAATAAATTCTTGTAAATCCGCTCATATTTGGTTACCTTATATATCTTATTTGTATTTTCTTAGAAGATAGGTATGATACATTAATTAAATTTAAATATCATAATCATTTTTTATTCGTTCTATCTTTTTAATATATGCATAAATATTAAACACATCTTTGTGACAAGACATTCCTTCATAAATTCATATTTAATAAAAAGATCAGAGATGATTGCCTAATTTGTCATTCCGCCTTAAACTGCTTTTCAGAATAAGTTATTATATCCTGGTTATACTCATTATTTCCATTATTTATTTCACATAAATAATAAAGCTATATATTACAATATTATAATAAGTATAACAAATATGATGCAATTTTGAAACAAAAATGTTATTTTTATTATATAGTTACAAATTTTATCATTATTAATTCAAATCATTTTAGAGCAAATATTGTTATTATGCTATTTGTTATCATTATTAAGAAATAGATATGGGTGCATAGTAAATTTATATACTATCATTTTATATGTAATTAAATTTTCTTTTTAAAATTGCATCAAGGGAAATTCATTAGGGAAATAATAATTTATTTTTTTAATCTAAATAGTATCTTAGCAGAAAGAATTAAACTACATGTTATTTATCAAAATGTAATAAAGTTATCTAAAATTCTATCTACATGCACTATATAATTTTGATGAATCCAATGATGACAGATTGAGAGACAGATCTCACATATCCCCTCGAGACATTTTCGAAAGCAGGTCAGAAACAAAGGTGTACCCACGAAAGTGGTGGGGGCATTAAATGCATGTTGGATACTGTGTATATAGAGATCACATTATTACGTATCTTGGTAGTTCACTCCTCAATTTCAATAAGTTCACATCCCTTTGTCAATTGACTGACAATGGAGTTTCTTCAATTTTTTACTGTTGCTATTGTAAGTATTTGCATTTCGATGAAAAATTTATACATGTTTATCTTGTAATAAATTTGAAACTTGTGTGTATATATAATTTATTATGAATCTCAATAAATATGATATTTAACTTTAATAAATAATTAATAATATTCCTATAATATTTAATTAATAATATTTCTAACTTCCTATTAAAATAAAATAGAATTTTTTTTATTTTTTCAGCTTTTGTTAAGTATAACATCAGTGAAAACATATTCTATTCCATATGAAACCATTCAGCAAGCGTTTTCCAGTAGCCCAAAATTAATATACACATCTGAATCTAATCCTGCTTTTAGTGGATATTCATATACAACACAGAATTTTAATGGTGGTGAAAGTAATGTTATTTTTACAACTGGTGCTGATTCTGTGAGTAGATTGAAGGATGAAATAAACTCGATGAAAATGTCAGAAAAATATTCACAAAAAAATATAATGAATGAAAAAGAAAAAAATATGATATCTTCAGAACAATCTAAATCTATAGAAAACGAAATAAGCAAGAACAAGCAAGATATTGAAATTCTTAATGAAGGAAAAAAAATACTTCAAAAAAATACCTGAAGCAAGTAATCTTATTAAAGATCAGACAAAGCCTCAGCGAATCTCTTTTGTGGATGTATCATATCCTGTACTTAGAGAAAATTTATTAAACTTAAACTTTCCAGTATTTTCAAGATACCAGATACTGTCAAATATAATACAAGGCCAATATAATCCCTATGCTCACTTAGAACTACCTTTACATAATTTTGGTTTTTATAATCCCACTGCGCCCTTGTTTTACCAAGCAGCAGCAATCGCAATTCCCGATAATAATTTCAAGGTAGCATCAGCAGCTGTTGAAAATGTTAAAACTTCTATAGAACCTAACATCACTGAAAGTTCACAAACAAATGCTACTAGCTCGGAATCTAATTTAATAAAATCTAACATAAAATCAAGATTCAATTTAGAATCAACAGCAAATGTTGAAAAAATGAAGCAGTCAGATGCTTCCATGAACAAATTGGAATCGATGATTATATCTGAAAACACTGAAAAAGAAATTACAAGTAGCAAATCTGTGGTAACATCTCAGTCTTCTATTGAGCAATTTACAAATAACAAAGAAAATAACATTGAATTTTCAAGTACAGAAACAAGTTCCTTGACAGAAAAATCAAGTACTGCAACTGAGAAATGTATAAAATGTATGGAACATCCCAATTGAAATATAAATCTATATATATTACATTCTATCTTTTGTATTACATTAATAATAATAAAAGAACTTTAATAAAATGTGGTAAAATCTATTGCAATTGTAAATACTGTTTGTTTACATTAAAATAAATTTTTTATAGTTACTACGTAAAATTTTTTTTGCTTACAATAAAACTAATTTATGAACTTATAGTAAATTCCTTCATTATACAATTATTAGTATCTGTGTTTAAATTATTAATAAAAACACTGTGTATTAAATCACAGGTTATGTCTATTGATGTTCAAATAAATAAAAATGTTTGAAGATATTAAGTCATTTTTTAAAGTAATAAAGATAATTCAGATAAAAATCTTTATCTTTATAATCAGATAAAAATTTCGTTAATAAAATGTCATATGTGATCAACAAGTTTAAAGAATGTTCATTACCTTGCAAGTACCCAGGGACGTTTTGGATGGAAGGACAAGCCCTTCACTCGAGCAGACTTCGTTTCGAACTTCGTCAACATCTTGTTTTAAATAATTATCCAAAACACGATGCAATCAATTAAACATCGCCCTCTCGAGATTCTTTAAACTTTTTGACACAGAGAGAGACACGTCACTACATAATCACGAATTATAACGTTACTGATACGAAATATAGATGTGCTTCGTTATTTTTCACAATTTCATCTAGTAACATTTTAATTAAAAAATTAATTCCCTATAAATGTTGGTGTATCGCCCAATGTTCTTGATTGGTTCTTCAATACTTCCGTTGCCATGTTTGGAATCGCACCAAAGAATTCGAAACACATCGATGAGTTGCACGCGGTATATCCTGATTGGCTGGATTTATGGAAGACACGTTTTGTCGTCTGGTCTGCCTAACCTTGGACGTCGATCCGTCAAACGTTTTGAATGAAACTATTTGTAACAATTATGATTTAGTCTGAGATCGATAAACGTTCGGGAATTGTTTGCTTCTAATTCTACAAGAATAAAACAGATATTCTTCTCCGTTCTTCCTCTATATTTTTTTTATAACTATATAGTCCTGTCGATAGCCGGTGCGGTATAATGCGAGTGCCGACCAGCTTTATTTTTCTTAGCATTTTTATCGTATCGTGTTGTATGAGCAGTGTCCAATGTGAGAAAAAAAAGCAGAGCGAGGAGGAAGTTAAATCTCAAAAATTTCCGCCCTGCGCAGCGTGTAAGATATTTACCAATAGTTTCAAAAAGGTAAACAATTTCTCTTTTTTTCTCTTTTTATTGAAAGATTTAATAAGTTATATTTTAAATCATTTTGTGTTAAAACTATTAAAATATATTCAATTATATTACCTAAAATTTTAAATTTGAATCATTATTAAAATTTTAATTATTTTGTAGGGTTTAGAAAAGACGAGTCGTGGAAAGTTTGAAGGTGGAGATAGTGCTTGGGAAGAAGATAAATTAGGTTCATATTCAAGAAGTGAAATACGATTGATTGAAATACAAGAAAACTTGTGTAAAGATGTTGAACATGGTGAAACACAGTGTCATTCATTAGCCGAAGAATTAGAGAGTCAAATAGAAGAATGGTGGTTTAAATATCAAGATATACATCCAGATATATATGATTATATTTGTATCAAAAAGACAGAACGTTGTTGTCCGAAAGATCATTATGGTCCAAACTGTACACAGTGCCCAGGATATCCAGATAAAATTTGCAGTAATAATGGCAGATGTAAAGGGGCTGGCACAAGAAAAGGAAATGGTGGCTGCTTCTGTGACAAAGGCTATATTGGAGATATCTGTTCAGAATGTGCTCCAGAATATTATGAATCTTATAAAGATGAAAAAACTTTATTGTGTTCTGCATGCCATGCAGCATGTGATGGTTCTTGTAAAGGAGCTGGACCAAAAGACTGTGAGAAATGTGCTACTGGATGGTATATGATTGAAGATAAAGGCTGTTTTGATATTGATGAATGTTTAAGAAGTAATAATTGTCCTGATAATCAATTTTGTGTTAATAAAGAAGGAAGTTATGCTTGTTTGGGTATATATAATATATATGTTATTAACTATGTTTAATAAATTAGATTTTGTTTATGTAATATATTGATATTATATATTTGGGATTATTCCAGCTTGTGATAAAGCTTGTAATGGTTGTACTGGCGATGGTCCAGACATGTGTATCAAATGTGCTGAAGGTTATTATAAAAAGGATAATTTGTGTATAAGTAAGTATTATCAACAATAATATAATATAGTATATTTGAATTTATAACTTATGTTGCAAATATTTGCAGATTCAGATCTTCTTGGTCGTAAGAAACAGGAAAATTTGGCACGATATCTAACATATTTCGGACTCTGTGTAGCAACATGTATTATTTTGCAACGCAATGTTTATGCAGCGAGTTTTATCGGTTTGTTAGTCGCAATATATATATCCGTCTCAGAATACATGATTGCACATAGTAATGTTCAAGATACGACGGCAAATATGGATATTCTAGGACCAGCTTAAATAGAATAGAGATTTAAAGAAACTCTTTGTAAAATCATTACAATGTGTGTATTAAAATAAGAAGACATTTCTCATATATAAAATAGATCATGTTAAAATTAATATATAATTGTAATATGTAATGTTATCGTATAAGTTGTAAAAATATCAGAATTTTATTCATATCCTTTTTTAGATTTAAAAAAAATTTTTTTGATACATATTCCTGATCTTATGTATATAATGTATGTTTTTCTAATATTTATATATATATATGATTATATGATTATATTTTTATCCAGATATCGAAATATTTCAAAAATTATATGGTTAATTCTTTAATCATTAATCTACTAAAATAAGAATGTCTATTAAATGCCTATTTTTTGTTTGATATATTCTTATGCATATATATATTAAGTTATTGTAAATATTATATCTGAAAATATAGAAAAGAGATGATAAGAAAAAAAGCACGCGCGCGCGCGAAATAAATATTTGCAAATAATATAAAAATTTTATTACTATCATAATTGTTATTATTTAGTTATTCTTCATCATTCAATACATTCGATAGTGTATAAACAAGTTTTTATAAAGTTCACAGATTCTTTAAATCAAATCATAAAAACGAATATATCATGCTAATATAAACAATTATAATATTGTTAATGTATTAATATAATAACAAGAGATTGTTTAGCATAAATTTTGTTTTTTCATTAATTTATTTAGTTTGCATAAAAGTGTAACAATTGCACTTATAAATTCGTAACAAAAATTTTTTATTTTTGAGTTTCTATAATTATTGGCGGAATACATCTGTCTTTTATAGATTGTAGATATCTAGTAGTTAATAGAAAAACAATAATGAAATGCTATTTTGTAGAGATTAGATCAGTTCGGCTGTATATTAACAAACAAATCTTTGCATAATTGAATACAAAATTAATTAACCCACTAATTGAATACAAAATAGATGTTTCTTTTGTATATCTTAATATATAGAATTTCAGTAAATAATATTAAAAAAATGTAAAATAATATAAATATTTACAAATGCATACTTAACATTGCAATCAATCCGCAAAACATGATTTAACAAAAAATAAAGAGATATAGGTAAGAAAAGAAATATAAACAATATATTTATAGAAAGTACTTATTAAAAAAATATTTCATTATAGTATTTTGAAGAGCTCTTGAAATACAAGAATATATAATAAAAAAATGGAGGTTTCCGTTTAAAAAACAAAGTTGACCTCTATATGATCTTAATACTTTATTCAAAGTCAAATTGATAAGATCAGTAAATAAATCTTTTTAAAGCTTACAACTTTTATTCGAAACACTTTTCTATAAAATCTTATATTTTTCGAGATATTTAGAGATCTCGACCTTTTTGGAACATGTATATAGATAACATTAAGATTATCAGTTGTCAATGATTGTACATTATTCAATTCTATCTTTCATTTCAACAAAAGTGCCATTCTGATTTGTTGCATCGAAAATATAAATATTATTAGAAAAATAACAATAAAGTCATATTAGAAATGTAAATTTTAAACGTAAAGTTTAAGTTATTAAGGATTATTTTAACTTGTGCATCTCTGGAATTTAAAAATTAAAAAAAATAATTTAAAAGACATAGTTAAAAAATAATATTTTACCAAATTTCATTTTATGCCACTAGATGGACAAATGTTATATTAGTTTCTCGTACTTAATTTTATATGTGTCTATTATATCTTCGCGATATAAAGAATTTGACCATCAAACAATTTTATATCCATAATATATTTTTTGAGATATTTTTCAAGTAGAACGTACCTGATATCAATCAAAAGCAAGATTTCTTTCGTTTTTAGCATAAGTAAGCGATTTCATAAAATATATATATTTTTACCTGATTATATAAATAAGGATATCATGTTATGTTAAATACGCTTTTGATAATGTAAATTTAATGTTTCAAATATGTAAGGTTTCTTTCTTTTATGTGTATTCATCTCAGCTTGAAAATTAACTTTGCTGTGCATTATTAATCAAATTTTTAATTGTGAGATTTTCTCGCCAGATGGCCGAATTTTGAAATAATTTCTCGTATTTAAAATTTTATTTGTTATTTATAAGTATCATCATAGCTATTTTATTGTTATAAGCAATACTCGATATAAAGTTATATCGTATTTTTTTGGAATGGTAATCGATTCACAAAACGTTATGCAGTTAAAATGTTAATTCATATAAAATAAGTAAGCCGATCTTATGTAAGCGAGGATTCTCTTATTGCTATAATTAGTGATTGTTATATGTTAATACAATTTTTTTTTAATTTTTAAATTTTATCACATTCAAGTTTATGTATCTTCTATATTTAATTTTTATATGTATTTAAATAGTTTTTTATATCTAGTTTTCATTTTATCACTTTTTATTTATATATATTTATATATTTCTTTTTTTAATTAATCATTTATATTTGTTTTGTATATGGACGTTAAAATTACAATGCACAATTCTCTTTTTTTTATAGACAGAAAATATAATAAATGTTCTTTCCGCTAGATGGATGAGCAGTACAACACTTTCTCGTAATCAAATAACGTCTAATACTACTATTTCTTTCGTACTAGAATGCTCATAAACTTATCAAATAACTTTATATCCATAAATAATTTTTAGATGTTTGTAGGTTGAATTACATAATTTTAAAACCAAAATAAAATTTCTAGCTTTCATACAAAATAATAATAATTAATATTGGATTTTGTTATATATTATAATGTTCTTTTTAAGAACAAATTATTTTTAAATTTCTGCTATTAATATATATTTTTTCTAATCCAATATCTCAATTGTCATTGCCTTTGTTTAATTTTTCACTAAATTTTATTTACATTTTATTGAGTATATTTATCATTCTATATGTACTTGTAAATACACTTAAATTATTGATCTCTTTTGCTTACATATATAATTATTAGGACATAGAAGTTTGTGAAGTTTCATGATAAACCTTTCCAAAAAGCCAAGCTGAGACGCATTGAAACAATCCAGTTATTTTTTGCAAGTGCAATTGTTTTTTTTTTTCACATGCGTTGATGCTTAATCTCCCTATCACTCTACTATTTTCATTATCCGAAGTACTGGCCGTGCAACTCTCAGATGACCCGAGCAAGGACGATTCACCATGAAATCTCACGTACATCCGCGCTCTAATGATCATCATACGAATACATAAGAAGCTTGTACAATGTGCTCACTCCACAATCTAGGACATGAACCATTCATCTGTAGCTGTGGAACTTGCGCTTTCCGCGTTTTATTAAACGTAATTTGTTGAACCGATGGCCACGCGCGTCGTAAACGAATGTATCCCAACAATTCGATAAGAACACACGGCACGCGCGGAAGAGACGGGGACCTACCCAAAAAAAAATGTCGTTTACCAACGTCTTCCGGATGGTCGCATACCACAGCACTCTCGTAGCTAAACGTCGCCTACCTCTACCGCATCTCCCGCGGTGCGATCAGGTAAAGACGTATCACCCAGCCTTCTATTCGCGACACGATCTTTCGGGTCGGCTAAACATCCTTGGCTACCTGAACGCGGAATCTGAAATAAAAACGGCTCGCCTTGTCGTGTAGGTAGACCGGTTACATTATATTTCGCCGGAACTAATTTGGAACAATGACCTGCGGCCATTGCTGGTGGCGCGTTATAACTCCTCCCGCGCGTTTAAAGTTTATACTTTATATTTACAAACGCAATCCGCTGCGACTGTACCTACTGCACTGTTTGCACATGAATGTCACGTCGGAAGATTGATAGAGACACAGCTCCCGTAGAAGACGGAAATTTGAATCGAAAAAGGTCTTGAGTTGCAATCGTCGGAATGCCACAAGCATATGCGAGTAACGACTTCGATATTCTTTTTTTCCATCTTTCTTTCCTTCTTCCTTCATTATTTTTTTCTATTTTTTTTCCTATTCTTGCTCAAATAGCAAGATGATGCATCATTATTTATCGTCTCTTTTTCATCAAAGTAGTGACAAATAACATCAGCTTGTTACCTGCATAAGAGTGTCATTTGTTTCTTTTTATCATTTATTTGCGTAAAACTGTTAGATATGTTATTGATTTAATGTTCTGTTCTGTTTATATATATTTCAATTATCTAAGGCTAAGATAATTATTTAAGAGAGTCAGATTCTTTATCTTATAGTTATTAAATTGTAGATATTAAATATTTATAACTAGATAATCAAGATTACGAATTTTGTAGATTTTTATACGATTTCCTATACACACGCGCGCGCGCGTACGTTAAGAGCTTCATACTATACATAAATAACTTAATATAATATTTATTTATATGTATATAAATTTATATAAATTTTAACAGTAACTTAGAAATTTTTGATTTTTGGTCTATTTAAAAAATAAATTCGTTTTTAATATAGTAATTAAAAGATTGATGAATAAACATTTTTAAAATATAGCATTATATATTATTTATATAATTATGCAATATATTATTATATTATATGTTGTACTTAACATTAAATAACAAAAAGAACAGATAATATTTAATTATATACTTAAATTTGTATTAGCATTTTGTAAAAACGATAATATTAAAAAAAATGTGTTTATGTCTAAATCTATAGAACTTATCTAGTTAAAATTTATCTAGTTTAACATTTTAACTATATACCATTTATATCATAATAATCTAACAACTATGTAATATCTAAACATGACATACGATTAGTTGTATAGAGATTTTTTGATCAGTCACTAGATGGCCAAAAAATTTGAAGTTTCTTGTAGTTAAATTTCGTTTTCTTTCTTTTATATATCAGTTATATATATGAATAATTTATAAGCAATACTCAATAGAACATGTAATTATGTTCAAATTTTTAGAATGTAGTTCTTTATCAAAAACGTAATGTGTATTCAAAAAATAATTGCTTCTATTTAAATATTTTATATTTAAATATTTTTTGTGTGTTTTTATTCTACATAGATTATACTTACTTACAAACAAATAAATACAAACAATTTTAATTTTTCCTACATCTTTCTCCAAGAATGAATTAATAACCAAATCT